TGTTAAAAGGCTGAACGTTTTAATTTCTGTTTTCAGTGTTTTGATTTCAGTGTTCAGTGCTTTCCCTCCCCCCCATATTTGCAGTGAATGAAAAATCATTTTCATCAGTGTTTTTCATGAAAAAATACACCATTTTTTGACCAGCTCACCTGAAAAATATTAACCATGGCCAAATGCCACTTGGTTCTGAATCGTGGCCATGCACAAAAAAAGAAACCAGAAAAAATCCTGAAGTAGTTATATATGCACATTTAATCATACAATTGAAATTGGGGGGATGCCACTGTGGCTACCACATTTACCATCTATATTCTGTTGGTAACCAAAGACATTTATGGGACCCAAGTGTGCTAAGTGCCATATAATTATTGCTATGTGTTTGTGGTATTGGAGTATCTTACCTTTAATTCCACTGATGCAGTGAGTAAGATTTGTCCTCAAAGCAATTAAGGAAGTGAAGAAAAATCAAGGACCTAAGCCTGGAAAAAAGCACAGTGTTTCATGATGTAATGATCTTAGATAGCTACAGTCTTGCACTGATGCAAACCCAAATTAACCAGGGATTTGGGGTGCCTCAGCTTCTGAATCTCCAGTTTGAATGCCATGAAAGGGGACCTCATTTTCAGCCAGTGTTGATTTCCCACGCTCTGGAAATAAATTTCCCATTAGGACCTCTAGCTGGGTACATAAAACTGAGACATGTCCTTAAGAGATGGCATTCTTATCACCTAAACTCATCAAAAATGACCTGATATTTGGCACTTATGCGCCAAGCTACATAAGTGCCATGGCATTCATATAGTAACTGGAACTGGAACGCACATTGGTCAAGTGACTTGCCGAATATGCCGGGGGTAGAGAGAAGCATACTTGAGAATAAAACTATGACTGTTCTTGATCCATTAAACCACAGCCTATAATAGTAGGTAGAAAATCCCAATATGGCTGACAGAAGATTACTGCTTGGGACGTATGAACTTCCTCTACAGGCAAGGGTTTTTTGTGGATCTTCTGTTGGACCAACTATGTAGTTGGGAGAGCTGTTGACGAATCCTTCAGGCATCAAGTCCCTTCCTCAGGAACCTTCTCTAGTCATCTTTTCTCTTCTGATCAAAGACTGTCGCTCCTTGACTTTAACATGATAAAATTGGAAAGGGAGAAGAAAAAAGTTCTCTGCTGCCCTCAACCCCAATCCACGTTGTTCTGAATCACTAAAAATGCTCAACCAAGTCAGTAGCCTTACATCAGTGATTCCCAACCAGGGTGCCACAGCACCGTGGAGTGCCTTGAGATCCATTCAAGAATGCTATGGGGTGCCATGTTGCCATGTAATGTTAGCCCTGTTTGATGTGCAAACATGATTCACAAGATAAATTCAGATTTCAGTAGGAAACCGTAGTATTACAAACATTCTGACCTCTTGTGGTTTTTCTGAGTTTTTTGCAACAGAAGAATCGCTCTATTATTTTTCCGTAGTCAAAAAATAAGTGTAAACTAAGAGTTGGCACTTTCTAAGGGCTACCCTTGAGTCTAACAAGGGGGGTTCTCAGGTCTAACAAAGCTGAGAAGCACTTCCCTTACCTGTCCCCAGGTGCTCGCTAATTTGGACAGCGATGTTGTGAGCTTGTTATAGCCCCAGGAGTGTGCAAAATATTTCAAAGGTGAAGCACAGATGAAGAAGCTTCTCCATTCATTTCAATCCCATCCTTTGCTGATAGGTTGTCCCCAACATTGCCTCTCACACTGAGCGGAATAAGGGAGAACTTGAAGAATTCAATCCTCCTATTGGTCCAAAGATACAGACACATCTACGTTTACTTTAAAAGAGGAGACAAAACGTCTGCAGGGGTAAAGCAATAATTTTGCTTGCATTTTCTGCCACTGAATCTGCATTACAAGCCTGGGCCAACCTCTACTGACCACACGCAGAGGTATTTTGATTACTATCTGTAGGTAATGTTAAAAAAATATATATTTCTCACTTAGAGTAGATCCACATTGCCTATTGCAGTGTAATGCAGACACCTCAATATGGATAGCAGTTTATCTGTGGTAGTACAGAGCAGCACATGAAGTCATTCAGCATGCTGAGAAGGGCACTCAGGTTGCTTCCAGTCTCTGAAATTGTTTTGGTATTTCTATAGTACATGGCAGTCTAGACATACTCTTTCCAGGTGTGATGGAAAGACAGAGGAGAAGCAGCAAGGGGTTTGTTCCTAAAGGGTTAGCACCCTTTTCTTGCTCAGGGAAGCATTGTGAGCAGATAGACCATTTACTACTGTATTGAAGAAGAGTGCTCCTTTTGACCTAGTGAGCAAGAGGTGCCTAATGAAAATCTATGATCCCGGACAATGTGAAGATAGCTGTCTGATCAGATAATGGAATTGTTTTCAGTTGTAAGAATGAATCCATTACTAATGCAAATAACGATAATAATTATAATTTGCAACACAGTAAAAGTCACCTAGTCTACCTCCTCCTCTGACAGGAAACTGCATAATAAATTATAGGCTGAGAAAAAAAATCAAAGGGATAAAGGTTAAAAGATTAAAAAAAATTGAAACTTAAATGCTTAACACAGAAGTCAAGACCTGAAAGCAAAAATTGGTGCTATTAAATCATGCCATTGTAAAAAAAAGGAGATATTATGGAATTGATTAGCAAAGCTAAATCCAAACCTTCCTCTCATCACTCCCTCAGGTCAGAGTTTGATCATTTTGACAGAACAAACTAGTTTTACATATAATAAGAAATGTAATTAGCTAGACACAGATGTATGCCCTAATATTGGTAGGAAATAAAATGTCTCTTACCATATGAAGATAACAAAACCCCCAAGAAGGATAACAGCCTAACAAAATTGGGGAGCTGCAAAGATAACTTCTGCTGCTGCTTTGATTTGTTTTCCAAACAGGTCCACTTCTTTGATGCGGTTCCAAACAGGAAACGTGCCAATAAATATTTGCAAACCACCCATTTTTAAGATCTAGATCCTTCTGGTCTTCCTGTGCCTGTTTAGGAGGTATCCTGATATTAATAACATAGCTGTTTCTGGCTGTGCAAGTGTTTAAGGGCAAGGGAAACGAGATGAAAAGGGGAAGAATCATTGTACGTTACCTTTGCGGCGCTCCAGTTCTGAGGCAGCAACACAAAGGAGGTGGCCTGCTCCGTGAATCACACTAGGGCAATTCACACAACCTGCCTCACAGTTGCTAATATGGTTCAGATTCATGTGTGGGATGAAAGGTCTGGTGCAGATGTTGATACGTGATCTCAGTATGTTGAGCTAACTTTAAAAATCATATTCATTAGATCAGAACCAGAATGGTAGCGATGCCCTATAGGGCTGTGCGAAGCTTTGGGTGGTGATTTGATTCAGAGGAAATTCGGCCTGATATGGTGGCTGAATCTCCAAATCCAGATCGAATCAGGGGAACAAGTAAAAGGTCCGAACTGATTCAAAGCTCTTTGAATCTTCGGAAAAGACTCGGGGAGCTTTGATGATTCGGGCAGTCCCCGGTGGTTGCAGCAGGGAGCTGGAGCTGGATTCAGAACTGGTAAGTAGGGGGGAGGGGACCATGGGGGGACCCCTACCTGCTCCCCCAGCCCCTCCAACCCCTGCCCGCT